GAAGAGGTAGATACCCAGCCACTGCAATCGCTGCCCCAGAGGAAGGGAGAAGGCAGGAGGAACAAGCGAATCTCTGCCAGGTGCTCGCCCTGGCCCAGATGGCACGAAGATAAATTTCTCGTCAATCCTGGTGGGAGGATTAGTGGAATCCAGATGACTTTATTCTCATCACCTCTGTCCTCTGGCCAAATGTAGGCCCTGGCTTAAATGCTGGCAGTGGCCTAGAAATCCCTGGTACATCAATGCCCTCAACGTTGCCTCCACAAGTGGGTCGAAACCGTGGGGAAATTCAGGAGACAAATGGTAGCGGCAGAGGAGCGTGGGTGATGGGTGGTAGCAGCAGAGGGTGCACGGTGCTTATGGCTCCCCTCTGACAAGGTGGGTGGATGGAAGGGGACTCCACCGGCCAACATGTGCCCCCTACTGGCTGTTTGGGGGGCCAGCACCGAAAGGTGTGGGGGGGGGGAGGGTGCAGGAGGGCCGGGGGAACTCAGGAAAATGTTTACTTAAAACAAAAAACCCAGCCAAAGCGAATCTTGCGTCTAGAGAACCATTTACTTGGATTTTAATGTTGCCTGCCTCTGGTTAGAAGCACAGAAATCGACAGGATCACCAGCTGCTTTGGAGGGAGAGGCCCTGCAGGGGCAGTTTCCTTCAAACCCACCTGGGAACTAGATTTCTAAGAACACACATGCTACATGGAACTCAATTTATATAACTCCTCCCTGCTTGGATTCTAAGCTTAGCTTTAAGCTGCTAACCAAAGCTGCAATATTGCATAACACAGTTAAAATAATCCTGTGCAATTGAATTTCTTAAAAGGAAGCACTAAGTGTGGTATAAACCAGTGGTATAAACTCTTACATTTTCACTTTTTGCGTGAATGTAAAGGGAGTCAGCCAGGAATGGCCCAGTAGTCACAGAAGGCTTCACAGCGGATGCCATTACAGTGAAATTGAGTTGGTCTAGTCACAAAAGAAATTAAAAGCGGAGAGCAGGGACCATTGTTCTTAGTTGTCGAACCGTGCCTGGCGTAGTGGAGTCCTAGCTCAGGGCTCCGGGGTGCTACTGCACACCAAACGACCAATTATAATAATACTCCTGCCCGCATCCTTTGCCAAGTTTTTGTCAATTTACAAATACATTTGCCGGCTTTAAAAAAATCTCCTTTCTCTTGCTGAGTGAAAGTCCCCCCATACACAACAGGAGGGCTGACTATTTGGGGGGGGAACGTGCTCTCCAATATATACCATTAATAAACGGACTTTACATAAACTTATGAGTGATTAGAGTGACGCTCATCAGCTGCTGTTTGTAGCAATACTCCATAGGAATTGAGTGTTGGCGCCGCGTTGGTGTCAGGCTCTGACAGCAACTAGGTGGCCAGGTGATACTATGCAACAGACAGCTCCCACTGAAAAAGAGAAGCTTTCAAGCTCACCATTGGCCCACTAAAAGAGATGACCTCTCTCACCTTGTATCTCCGGTGACGTTGAGACTACGGGGTCCAGGGAACGTGTCTGCTCTTCCCCTTTTTTTTTGCGGAAGAATAGACGCTCTCTTTCGGAAGCCCTGTCTTCCTCCTCCCGCGAGGCAGAAGGGTTCTTCTGAAAGAGAAAGCTTTTCCGAAATTTGGCCGAGTCTAGACGGGCCCAATTTCGGAAAAGCCTCTTCCGGCAAAACTATTGGAAAAGGGTACACAAATTGCAGAGCATGATTTGCGTACCTTTTTCCAATAAAACATAGTAGTCCAGACATAGGCTCAGAAAGATTACAGGCAGCTGTGTCATTTAAAAGTGACAGCATCACGGGATAAAAACAAAGGACCGTAGTTGTAAAAGAGAATAAAAGACGTTCCTTTGGTCAGGGCACAAGCATAGACTTTGGGTGCCAACAAAATCTCCTGTCCCTTTGGAGGCATTTTGTGTGACCTTGCTCTGTTTCTCTCTGCATCGTTAAAACGGGGATAAGCCTGATCTACGTCACAGGTGCGCTGAAAGAATAAACATGCCAATGATTGTGAGGCTCCGATTAAAATAGTGTTTGACTTGAATGTGAACTCAATCTAATGGCATTCGTGTTGTGGCAGCTCTTCTGGACTGATGTCAGTAACGGGCCTGTGGGAAATCAGGAGCATTCTGCTCTTAATTGGAGCAAGCATAACTGAAAATTTTGTGTCTTTGTTTTGCCGCTGCCAGTGCTAGATGTTTTAGTGCCATCTGGCTACCAGATGAAATATTGCAGAGGATAGCTGAAGAAGGGCTAACAAGGGCACCCAGAAAATCAGTGGCAGAGCATAGTGTAGGCCCCCAGATATCTTTAACTCCTTAGGTTGTGCTTTAACTACAAGACAGTCCCTTCCGAGGCCATGTTTTCACTGTGCGGGAAGGTGGAATTAAGATATGCAACTCCAGCTACATTAATTACATAGCTGGAGTTGACGTACCTTAATTGGAGTTTCTGCACGGTCTCCACAGACGGAGGTCGTCGAGGAGAGCAAACACTCCTATTGGCTTCTGTTACTCCTTGCTAGGAGCAAGAGTACTGGTGCTAATAGGGGCGCCCTCTGAATTTGATTTAGCAGGTCTTTACTAGACCCGCTAAATCAAACTCCAGAACTCGATCGTGGCAACATAGTGAAGACACATCTAAGAAAATTCCCAGACACTATAATCTGTCCAGATGTATGTGTGTAACTGACATGGCTCAGCATAAACCAAAACCAGCGATTGGGAATGTTGTTTGGCTCACTGTGTGAGCGAGCAGACGTTATGCTCCAGAAGTAAAGCATCTTGTGTCAAAAGAAGCAGTCTGTCCACAAACACATTCTTTCTTGAGGACCTACCACTCCGAAGCCTGTCTCGCTGCCAGTGAGTTGGATATCAGAAACAAATGAAGTTCCTACTATGCTGTAAAACTGACTAGTCTTGTACTCACAGTACCAGCCGAGCATAGCTTTCCATGGCACGAACGTACACGTGTCTACAAGGGAAAGGAAGGTGCTCTCATCTTCGTCTCTGCCATGGCCGTGTGTTCACCAAGGAATCAGTAGTTTGAGGCTGAAGAGGGGAAACTCCGTGAGTTGGATCTCACCGGGTTGCAGTACCGATGCCCATGTTGTCCCAACACTGGGAATAAAGGACCCCATGGCTGTCAGCCCAGCACCTACCCACTTATCATTCACCGAAGCACTGAGGAGCAAGGAGTGGGATTTTCAGGCGGGACTAGTGCATCAGCCCAGGATTTTGCATGCTGCTGGCTTTTGCTGCTGCCCGCTGCTTGGCTAACCCAAGCCTGGCTTATAGCACAGAGAGCAGCGTGCCAACTGCCTTGCGGACAAGCGAGTCCAAACACAGTGGTGTGGTGGCTGGTTCAGACCTCGTACCAGCTGGCCGGCCCCTTGGCCCTTCATAATCACCCCGGCCTGGTCTCCACTAGGCCCGTAGTCCAAAATAACCCCCCCTCGGCTGAATTTGTGAGCGGTGTGCCCACACTACCAAGCCCAGTATTCCAGAATAAGGGGCCACGGAATTCGAATGCTGTAGTCCTGCTTTTCACGAGGAATACCAGCCCGAAATAACATTCGCGTGGATGCCCCGGTGGCGCTAATTCGAACAAATTGGCCTCCGGGAGACCTGCAGCTCCCCGGTGCTTCCTGGGCTCTGAGTCTGAGGTAGCGCGTCCACATTGACAGCGCCTGCCTCGGACGGCATTCGAGGCGTCCCTGTAGCGAGGCCACACAGGTTCAAATGTCTTAAAGTCGGATTTAGTAGTTTCAAAAGAGTTTCCTGGTGTAGACGTGGCCCCACAGATCCGCTCTGCAGGCTGGTTCTGACGGGGAGCTCTGGGGTGGTTGGTTTTCTGAAATCCTTCCTCCTCTGGGTAGCCCCAAACAGACCCAAACCGTTCATCACGCTCTCTAGGCCAGCGATGGGCAGCCCAGGCGGGAGAGGGGGCTGCAGAAGTGACCTTCCTTCCTGTCAACGGGTCGCAACAGGGGTCCTAACCAGTCGCCGGGACAAGGTGGTTTTGCTTTGGCTGCAGAGGGCGCGCACGGGCGTGCAATCAGCGTGCTCCTCACTTCCCTGGCCCTGGCATGTCGCTTTAGTAGCACCGGTAGAAAATATACCTGGGCGGATGGGAACCAGCGGAACCTGGCATCCCAGCGCATGGCCAAGGGTAACAAACTGTCTCGTAAGCCATGCATAGAACCCACCTGCGTCCCCAGGGCTGCAAATTGCCCACCACTGATCTAGGCTATTATACCTAACCGCTGAGCAGTGACGCCTGGCTTTCTCTGTCTCCCTGGACATGTCACCTGGAGCGCTAATGTCATAGC